TGAGCCTCAGCTCCATTATGGGCACCAGAATAGAGGAAAACATTTCCAGTTCTGTCCTTCAATTCCATCCCCAAAGCCACTTCTCCAGAGCCTTTCCTCGGGTCTCCAAGAGGGCAAATGTTCCTTGGTTCTAGCTTGTTTCTCCATTGCTGTGACAAAGCACTCTGACCACTACCAACTTGGGGAGGAAAGGGTTTATTCAGCTTACATCTCCTGGGTCACAGTTCATCAGGGAGCCCAAAGTAGGAACTCAGGGCAAGAACCTGGAGACAAGAGCTGGAGCACAGGCCATGGAGGAACACTGCTTACTGGCTTGCTCCCCTGGCCCCTGCTCAGCCTGCTTTCTTATGCAACATAGGTCCACCTGCCCAGGGGTGGCACCACCCACAATGGGCTGAGCCCTTCCACATCACTCATCAAGAAGATGCCCCTCAGACATGGCCACAGGCCAGTCCAATAGAGGCAATTCCCCAACTGAGGCTCCCTCAACCCAGGTGTCCCAAGTTGATACTAAAGCTATCCAGCACACTTGCCTTGATGTTTCTTCATCTGTCTCAAGCAGTGACCAGCTAGGGAGCTCTTCCAGACTGAAATGCAAAGTAGCCATGAGTGTTCTATAGACACAATCCCAGGGCCTGGCATTTCCACTTAGGAAACTGCTGGAGAGAGTAAAAGCCACAGGTTGCACACCCGGGAGCTGTGGTGAAATTTGGGCCACAGGTGATGCCTTGATGTTTAAATAAAGTAAAGTAATCCATTTAAATATGAGGTACTGAGAATTAAACCCTAGACTTCATGCATGCTAAGCACATGTTTTTACCACTGAGGTCATACCCTAGCCCTCCAAGCCATTTTGGGGTACACAATACAACGGCACCCCTCTGATTACATAAAGAAACCCCACAACCATTAAGCAATCATTCTCTATTTCATTCTCTCTGCAGACTCTGGCACAAGTCTGCTTTCAGTTTATATTCTTGCAGAAAATCAACCAAGCACTACAGAGAGAACTCACATTTATGCCAGGGGACCCAGAAGAGCTGCCGCTCTGAAGTCATGGGCTTGACCCAAGACCCAAGTTCTTTACAGTTTTTATAGGGTTCTCTGGCATAATTTCTTAACTCTTATAAAATTGGTGGATTTAAGTTATAGTCTGCATGATCACCAGCACGGAAGCTTAGGTGTCCTAAGACCACCGACGAGAAACTCCTTCTGCGGCTAAGGGGTCAGACATGTTTGCAGAAGCAGATATTGAGTGCAGAGGTTAAGACAGTCTTTATGTTTTATTTATGTATTATTTTTATTTTATGTGTATGAACGTATTGCCTGCATGTAAGTACACCCATGTCTGCAATGCCCTCAGAGGTCAGAAGAGGGTGTAGGATGCCCTGAATTGGAGTTATGAATGGTTGTTAACTGCCATGTGAATGCTGGGAATCAAATCTGGGTCCTCTGCAAGAGCAGCTAGTGCTCCTAACCACTGAGCCATCTCTCCAGCCCCTGCATTTTAGTTTTGATTCCTCTTTCAGCACAATTGTTAGTTAAGTATTCATTAAAACAATAAAATATGAAAAAACAAAAAACAAGGTGAGTGCTGTCTTAAAGTATAGACAGTCATAAAATAAAAAAGCATCAGACATACACAAAAGTAACATTAAATGTATTCAAATAGCTCTTTTCCTTTTTTTTTTCAAATTCCTTTAAATTTTAATTCCACGGAAAACATACATAAGCTAACTACTTTACCATTCATGTCAATCAGTATTGATAGACTGTGGGAGTTCCTCTCATGTTGAACTATTGATTGAGTCTATTCAGTCCTTAATTCCTAATTTAATGTGGATTTTTTTAATGTTTTATGTGCATTAACTTACAAAGGAATGAGTACTCAGTGCCTAGCCCTGCGCCTCAGGTGGCTCGGCTCAGAGCCTGCCATATCAGACTGCAACCGACTACCATAGTCACCACTAGCATTCGCTCACACCTCAGGGGCCAGCGATCTCACCCCAGGTCCGTAAGTGTTGGGCCATTCTGTCCTTGAGCTGCTGGCCCACGTGTGTGTCTGCTTCCCCATGGCTAGAGGCTTCCCCGGCTTCGGCTCCAAGATTGCTCCCAGCAGCCGGCAGTAGTCCGCTCTGCGGCAGGCCCCGCCCCTTGGAGGAGCTAGCCAATTGGGAGACAGGCCACCCCTTTCCTCTGCTCTTAAATCTTTCTGTCCACCGCTAAGGTCCCTGAGCCTTGGAGGGGGTGACAGATGTAGGGTGATCTCTCTTATATCATGGCGAGATAGTGGCTTCTTAGGCCTCCCCTTAGGCCACTGACCCATCGCAGTGGTGTTTCTTCCTGGAGAGAGACCTGCGGGTGGTGCAGGCCCAGGGAAGCAGAGGTGCTCTTTTCCTTTTCAATATGGATACACCTATTTCATTTAAAAAATATGTGTTTCGGAGCTGGAGAGATGGCTCAGTAGTTAAGAGCACTGACTGCTCTTGCAGAAGACCCAGGTTCAATTCCCAGCACCCATATGGTGGCTATGAACCATCCTTAACTCCAGTTCCAGGGGGATCCGAAGCCCTCTTCTGACCTCCGAGACACTGCACGACATGGGTTCACTCACATACATGCAGGCAATATACGTGTACACATAAAATGAAAATAATAAAAATATTTATTTTATGTATATAAATGTTATGCTTGCATAGAGGTAAGTGCACCCATATCATGCAATGCCCATGGAGAACAGAAGATGCTGTCAGATCACCTGACACTGTAGTTACAGATAGCTGTTAGCTGCCATGTGGGTGCTGGGATTTGAACCTGGATCTTCTGCAAGAACAGTGTTCTTAACCACTGAGCCATCTCTCCAGCCCCTAAATAAAATATTTTAAAAATAAAAATATGTGTTTTTATGGCCAGGCATGGTGGCACATGCCTTTAATCCCAGCATATGGGAGGCAGAGGCAGGCAGATCTCTGTGAGTTCGAGGCTAGCCCAGTCTACATAGCAAGTTCCAGGCCAGCTAGGGCTACAAGGAGATCCTGTCTCAAAAATACTGCCCCCCCCCAAATTGTTTTTATTTTATGTATATGAGTGTTTTGCCTGAACAGATATGTGTACCCATGCATGTAATGCCCACAGAAACAAGAAGAGGGCGCTGGATCTCTTGGAGCTGAAATTATAGACAGTTGTTAGCCTCCATGTAGGTGCTGGGAACTGAATCCAAGTCCTCTGGATGAACAGACAGTGCTCTTAACCACTGAGCTGTCTCCCCAGCCCCCCTTGAGACAGGTTCTTATGGGAGTCAGGCCTTAAGCTCTTTATGTTGCCAAAGATGACCCTGAACTTTTTTTTTTTTTTTTTTTTTGTCTTTTTGAGACAGGGTCTCCCTGTAGCCCCAGTTGGCCTGGAACTTGCTATGTAAACCAGGTTGGCCTCAATCACACAGAGATGTGCCTGCCTCTACCTTCTGGGATTAAAAGGCATGCACTACCATGGAGGACAAGCAAATGCTCCTTTTTAAAAGTCTTTTTTTTTTTTTTTTGTCTTTTGAGACAGGGTCTCCCTGTAGTCCCAGCTGACCTGACCTCACTATGTAGACCAGGCTGGCCTTGAACTCACAGAGATCCACCTTCCTCTGCCTCCCAAGTGCTGGCACTAAAGGTGTGTGCCACCACACCGGGCTTAAAAATATTTTAAAATTTATTTATTTTTATTCCATGTGTATGAGTGTCTTGCTGGCATGTGTACAAGTGCACCCGTGTAAGGCCTGTGGATGTCAGAGGAAGGTGTTGGATCCCCTGGAGCTGGAGATAGACTGTTGTCAGTTGCCATGTGGCACTGTGAATCGAACCTGGGTCCTCCGCAAGGGCAGCCAGTGTTCTTAACCGCTGAGGCATCTCTCCAGCCTGCAAATGCTTTTCTTATAAAACCAATCAATCGGTATCTATTTATCTATCTATCATCTATTTATTTGGTCTTTTTGAGACAGGGTCTCTCCATAGCTCCAACTGGCTTGGAACTCACAATGTAGACCAGGCTGGCCTTGAACTCAGAGATCGGCTTGCCTCTGCCTCCTGAGTGCTGGGATTAAGGGCGTGCGCCACCACGCCTGTTTTGTAAATTAAATTATTTTTTTATTTTTCATTTATGTGTATGAGTGTTTTGGCTGCATATATGTAAGTGCACCTGTGTGATGCAATGCCCGTGGAGGCCAGAAGATGACGTCGGATCCCCCAGAACTAAAATTACATCATTTGTTAGCCCCCAGTGTGGGTGCTGGGAATCAAGCCAGTGCTCTTAACCGCTGGGTAATCTCTCCAGCCCTCCGTGTTTAACTTTTGCTTTGTTTTGTTTGAGACAAGGTCTCATTATGTAGCCTTGGTTGTCGAGCAGGCTGGCTTCAAACTCACAGAGACCGGCCTGCCTCTGCTCCCCAAGTGCTGATATTAAAGGCGTTCGCCATCACACCCGGCCCCATGTTCAACTTTTTGAGTAAGAAATCGTGTTTTACATTCTTGAGTCCTTTCCAGCTCTTCCCTAGTCTATTTGACACATTTACACTATTTGTCTGGCCCCTGAAGACATCTGAATCTTCTGTCCTAAAAGGCTTTGGATACAAAACCAACCTCCTTACAAAATAAAACTCCAGGTGCCCAAATAGCTGCTAACTAGAGCAGTCGTCCAGCAAACTAGTAGTACTCGGTTCTCAAGAGTAGTGCTTTGGTTTAGCCTCGAAAGAGGAAAATAATGCTTACCTGCGAGGAGGCGGTAGCCTCAGAGGTGATGGACCCACCCAGCGCGCCGCTGGGAAGCAGGTTCAGGAAGGAGCTGGGGAGGTGGGCGAGGACCGGAGAAGGAGGAGGAGGAGGAGGGAGGAGAAGGAGGAGGAGGAGGAGGAGGAGGAGGAGGAGGAGGAGGAAGAGGAGGAGGAGGAAGAGGAGGAGGAGGAGGAGCGCACGTTGCACCCTCCTGGCCCGGCCGGGAGCCTCGGGGCGCCGCGGTGGCCTGGGGGAAGGAGCTCAGGGCTGACAGGGGTTGGGCTGCACGCCACCAGCCGGGGCGGGGCTCAGGTCGGCCTGGGGGGGCCCGGGTTCCCGCCCCCCACATCCGGGGGCCGGGCCGGCGCTGGGCTCGCTGCGCGCGAGTGAGTCAGACCGGGTTTTCCCTCTGCCTCTGGGGCCAGCGGCGAGTGTCGCGGAGCGCGTCCCTTCCTCGCCAATCCGGCTCCGGCGCCCGGCCTCCCGCCCGCCCGCGTTTTCTAGGCTCCTGGTGCTTGGGAAGGAGGAAGGTTCAAGTACGGTCGGATCTTGGGGACTTCAGCACGACTGGAGGAGCCGCTCCTGGGGCCGGCGATCGCCGTGCCAGCATGGTAAGTGGGAGGGCGGGTCGCCCTGGGTGCGCTGCCGGGCGTCCTTGGCCAAGCCGCAGCCCACCGCTAGCCTCAGACTCCGAGTGGCGGTGCGATGCGCGCCCGATGTCCTCTGCTCCCCAGCACCGAGGGTCCGCTGGAGAGGCGACATCCCTGCAGATGCACTTCCCCTGGAGCATCTCCCGGGACCCCCGAGCCACAGCTGGATAGGACCACAGCTGGGTGGGACCCGCGCCCTTGGCGCAGGGGTCTAACCTCGGCCTCCGCCCCCTCGCCCAGAACCTGCGGGCAGGCCCCAGAGGGGGGCGTGGGGGAGATCTGTACCCGCCCCTAGGTAGCTCCAGGACCTCCCGCGGTTCTGGGGATCCCTTGCCTCCTCCACTGCCTTCTCCCGAGAAATTCACCGGTATGGCCAACCTGTCTTCTCTACCGCCTTACCGGACACACCTCTCACTTGCCCCAGCCCCTGCCCTGTTGTTCTGCTCGGATAGCGACGTTCCGAGGTCTGCTGCCCTGGTCCAGTCCTGACCTCAGCCTTTGACCAAAGTGAGAGCCATTTGGAGCACGGTGGGGCCCTAGCTGTATTCAGACGGAGGACAAGGGCATCCCCACCCCAGAGGAATAGATTGGGGCCCGGCTGCTCCAGCGAGGGAGCAGAGGTGGGAGGCCATCCTGGGCGGAGTGATCAGCCTCTTAGGCCCTCCCTAGCTGGGCGCCTCTGCCGACCGGCTGCGTGTGGGTGTGTATGTGCGAGACTGAATGAAAGCGCCCAGCCTGCTCCCGCCACTGCCTCTAGCAGTTTCCAGATCTTAGAGTCCCTAAGCCAGCGGCACTTACACTATTTCTTCCCGCGCCCCCCGAGACAGGGAGGAGGGATCCCTGGCTGCCTGGAGTCGAGGGGAGTGGTCCGTCCCACCCACCTTGGCTGTAGATGCCCTTGGGAGAATCAGCCTTGGGGGCTGGGCTGTCCAAGACAGCAGTGTTTGCCGGTGGAAGGTGACCCCTGACTGGGACAGCTGGGTAGAACAGAGGGCCTCACTCAGGGAGTCGAGATCCTTCTGCACACTGGGATCTTGGACAACTCACTTCTTTCTTAGCCTCAGTTTCCCCATTGTAAAGTAGACTGAGGGTCACAACTTTCCTGCCAGTTTCCTCCGACTCTTGTGGAGACGATGTGAAATCAGCAAATAGAAGAGCTCAGAAGGATTGAGGCGCCGAGTACCTAGTGACCCTAAGAATTCTGCAGAGGGGGCAGGGTGTGCCAGCCTCTCCTACTCCCTCCCAGACTGTCCCCTCTTTTGGAGTTGGGACATTCCAGTCTCATTCCTCTGGGCAGCTGCAGACACACCCCTCAGCGGGGCTGATCCTCCAGCAGCAGGTGGTGGGACCCTCCACTGGGGCCAGGGCTCAAGAGGGACTAATGGCAGCCTAGGCCGACAGGACTTGGGACTGCAGTGCGGCAGATGGAGGGAAACCTGCAAATAGAGCTAGTGCTCTTCTTCCCATGACCTTGGTCTCACCGTTTTCCCTCCTGGTCTCCATTTCCTCTTGGAACTGTATTCACCACCTAGGTGTGTTTGGAAGAGTTGCTTAGGGTCTGGTGCTGGGATGCCCCCCTGTGGATTCTGGGAGCAGCCCCATTCCCCCATCTCTACCAAAGGTTGGCTCAAAAGAGATGCACTTCTGTTTCCAGACCTTTCTGCAGTGCTGGCTAATCTAGGGGGCAGAGACTGACCGGTACTGATGGGTCCAGCAGTGTAGTGGTGACTTTTAGAGCTCCTTGCAGAGTCCTGGGCATCAGGATAGGCACTCTGGTGTAGGGCAGAGCAGCCTTGACACTTGGTGGAGGCCCTTCTCTCTGCTCTGGACCCCCCAGAGATTGTGAGGTACTTTCTCTTTCCTCCACCCCCACCCAATCCCAGGCCTGGGACCCAGCTGGGCTGCGCTGATCTGAGCAGGCAAACCCAAGGCTTCTAAGCAACGGAAGGAAGGAATGTGTGTAGTGGGGGAGGGGCAGAGGTAGGTTCCCTTCTTTAGGAAAATGATTTGTCCCCAGACTGAGACCTGGGCAGGCTGCAGCCTCCTTGAAGCCTGGGGCCTCAGCCCTGCAGTGGGAGCTGATAATAGGATCTAAGATGTTGTCCAGGAGGGGTGGAGGGTGACTTTGTACAAACTGGATAGCTGTCTGCTGTTGAGCACGACTGTCCTCACTGTGTCCTCTAACATGTATTTCTCCGGGTGGGATTGATACACAGGACACTGTGTGTTCTGTGTGAGTCATATACATAATTGTGGCTCATGGCTATTATAACTGATCACCCCTGGACCTGAGGACCCCCCCCCATGGGGGATATAGGGTGTCAGTTGTTTCTCTTGAGACCAGAAATGAGTATCTGCTCTGAGGAAGGCCAGGGTATGTGTGTGTTTGGGGTGAGGTGGGCATATTTGGCAATTTCCCCTACCCCTCACAGGGCTTAACAGTTCACAAAGTCCTTTCCCCCTGTTTGCCTCTCTGTCAATTACCCTGTGAAGAAAGCAGGGCAAGATGTGGAAACAGGTATGCCTGGGGTGAGAGAGAGAGAGAGAGAGAGAGAGAGAGAGAGAGAGAGAGAGAGATTGATGGGGTGGCAAGGTGACTGACTGTATTCCAGTTATTTTGGTTGTGGGTGACTGACATCTTGAGTCCCACTAGACATCTGGCAGCCCTGGTGGGATCTCATGTATCCTTACCCTGAGCGACTCTGTAACCTTATGCAAGTCAGTCTACCTTTCTGAGTCTCTGAAAGTGCTTCTTTAAAAAAATGCAATACTGATGTCACAGGTCTCTTTGAGACTCCTGCAAAGTGCCATGTTACTGTAGTGCCCAGCACTTCTCATTCCTTAACCTGATGACTCCTTTGAGCCTGTGTGGTCTGTGACACCCCAAGAAGAGTCTGACCTTCTCTGGTTAGGTTGGGGTGTACAAACTCAGACTTGCTCCCCACCTTGGATGGTACGAGAAAGTTATTCAGAAGAGCTAAGAAGGTTATTTTTGCCCTGGGTGCAAGTTGAGGACCATGGAGTGGGGTTAGGGGGAGGGCCTGCTCTCCCCTCCCAGAGTGCTTTGTCTTTTTCACAAACACAAAACCTGGAAATGGTTGAGGATGAAGCCTCCTAACCACCATTGTTTGGGGTGGGAGTGGGGTGTCCCGGAAGCATATTGGGTGGATGGTGGGGGACTCCCAGAAGCTGCCTGCCTGCCAGGCATCTGTTCCACACTGGGAGCTGCTGTGTGTGGGTGGGAAGCAGAAAAGGTGCTGTTCATTGCCAGTTGTTAGCACCTACTGCATGCTGGGCACTGGATGCGGCACATGTTCCAGCACAGCACCAGTCTCCAGGGTGTTGAGCCCCAGCACATGTGGGAGACTGTCCATAAGCCTGGCCACTTGGTATACAGTTGGAATGTGTGACTAAGCTCAGCCTCAGCCATCCTGTGTTTTGACCCTGGCTGCAGGCCAGAGCTGGACTGGGTGCCTGGGCACCTTACCTCACACTGGCATCCTCTCAGCATCCCTGAGTGATAAATGATATTGTTACCTTTGTGCTCCAGAGAAAGGCAAGGCTCACAGAGGTTAGGGGCATGGCCAAGTCATAGGCTGATTGTTTCCAACCCAGGTCCTATGGACCTGCCTGGTGCTAGGTAAGAACAGCAGCACTAGGAAAGCTTGACTGTTTCCCTCTGCCTCCCATCACTGCCTAGACCTGAACACCTGTTCCGGAAACAGAAGCCATTGTTCCTCCCCTTAGGCTCTTCCTGTGTGTATCACCATCCTTCCTCCCTTTGGGCCCTTCCTGTTTGTATCCCTCCCACTGTATCCCCAACCCCACCTACTCCAGATGTTTCCCTGGGGGAGCTCTGACCCTTGGCAGGAAGAGGGGCGGAGCAGGTTATCCCCAGGGAAGCAGAAGGAACAGACTTCCTTTAGTCCTGGTACACTGTCCCTGCTCCACACCACAAATTTGGTGGTGAGCCTATCAGAAGTGAGCAAGGTCAGAGTTGAGCCTCTGACCTACTGCATGGGGACCTACCCCTTCCTGACATGCCTTCAAATTGCACCCAGGCCCCTAGCTAAAGCTGTCTTTTGGGGTTCCAATTGAAGCTCCACTTCCTTTTCTTTAGACTTAATTTGACATGGTGTCCTGTCCTGGGCTTCCCACTGGTGTTCTTGCATAAATCTGCCACTGGTGGGCTTGGGCAGGTTGGGAAGCTAACAGATGGCAAGTTCTGGGGCACCTGGGAACTTGGGCACAGAGTATCCACCTCACCCCTAATGGAGCCTTCTGATTCCCAGAAGCACCTGCCTGTGCCCTGTTGAACCTTCATGGCCACAGCCTCGGGCCCTGCTAGCATTGCCATGGGCAGCGTGGGCAGCCTGTTGGAACGGCAGGACTTCTCACCAGAAGAGCTTCGGGCTGCACTCGCTGGGTCCAGGGGTTCCCGACAACCCGATGGGCTCCTCCGGAAGGGTTTGGGCCAGCGTGAACTCCTCAGCTACCTGCACTTCCCCAAAAAGGATGGCAAGACCACCAAGCGGACACCTCGCAACGAGCCTGACTATGCCACCCTCTACTACCGGGAGCATCCTCGGGCTGGTGACTTCAGCAAGACTTCTCTGCCTGAGCGTGGTCGCTTTGACAAGGTTGCATCTCTGCAGGGGGGGAAATGGGGGGGGATGCTCCCTGGAGACCCTGATGCTGGGATGGCGTAAGGGTAGGGCAGGCTGAAATGTGAGAAGTCTACTACAGGCTGTCCTGCAGCTTGATCACTGTACCCTGTATTCTCAGAGAGGATGGGGTGGGTAGAGAAAAGTGATCAGCTTGACCTTGCTCACCACCCGCCTCTCTTTCTGGCAGTGCCGAATTCGTCCATCAGTGTTCAAGCCTGCTGCGGTGGGCAATGGGAAAGGCTTCCTGTCCATGCAGAGCCTGGCCGCTCACAAGGGCCAGAAGTTATGGCGTAGCAATGGCAGCTTGCACACGCTGGCCTGCCACCCACCCCTGAGTCCTGGGCCTCGGGCCAGTGAGGCCCGTGCACAGCTGCTGCATGCTCTCAGCCTGGATGAAGGTGGCCCTGAGCCCAGTCTGTCGGACTCCTCTAGTGGGGGTAGCTTTGGCCGCAGTCCAGGCACTGGCCCCAGCCCCTTCAGTTCCTCCTTGGGCCATATTAACCACCTTGGGGGCTCCCTGGACCGTGCATCAAGGAGCCCCAAAGAGCCTGGACCACTGGCTGTACTGAGCTGCCTGCCTGAGCCACCTCCCCCCTATGAGTTCTCCTGCCCTGCTGAGGAGGTGGTGGCCGTGTTGCCTGAGACCTGTGAGGAGCTCAAGAGGGACCTTGGTGACCAGGATGTTGCTAACCCCTTCACTCAGGTGAGGGAACCCCTGTGTCTTGGGGTAGTCCTCTATTCCCTGGCACTGCGATGTAGGCCAGACAGAGGGACGTGAGCCAATACACAGGGCTCTGGAGGTAAGAGAGTTAACAGGAGTACAAAAAACACCTGTGGGTTGGGAATATAGTTCAGTGGTAGAATGCTGGTCTAGCATGCCGTGAAGCCCTGAGTTCAATTCCAAGCACTGAAGGGGGGAGGGGGAGTCCTAGCCTTTGCTATCCTACACCCACATGTCAGGGATACCGTGTCTCTTGGTGTTGTTGCATAGGACAGAGGAAGACAGCCTTCAGGAGGACCATGTACTGGGACACCATCTGTAGAGAGCCTCTTTTGTTAGCTGGGATGCGCGGCCCTGTGGCCTAGGTCCACAAGACATTAGTGCTGATGGCAGCATTTGGGTGGCAAAGGCCCATTGCGTTTAGGGGGTGGAGCCTAGTATGGAAATCTAAAAGTGGCAGTGTCTGCCCCTTACCCACTCCTCTTCCTCACTGCAGGTGCTAGAGGAGCGCCAGCGGCTGTGGTTGTCTGAGCTGAAGCGCCTGTACGTGGAACGGCTGCACGAGGTGGCTCAGAAAGCCGAGCGCAGCGAGCGCAACCTCCAGCTGCAGCTGTTTATGGCCCAGCAAGAGCAGCGGCGCCTGCGCAAAGAGCTGCGGGCCCAGCAAGGCCTGACCCCAGAGCCTCGGACTCCTGGTCCCCCGCTGGAATCAGACCCCAGTGCCCGGCCAGAGGAGGAGGCCCGATGGGAGGTAGGGCACCATCAGGGGCATGCAATTCTTGCTCTGGTCCCATCCTCTGCTGCTTCTCTCCCGCAGCCGGCTCCTAACATCTTACTATGCTTGGCCCTTATTCATGGTGTTTCCTCACCCCCCCCCCCCCCCCCCCCACCCCCCCGCCAGACCCCCCGGCGTGTCATCCCACCGCCCCAAGGTGCCAGAAGACAGCCGAGATTAGTCTATTGAAGCAGCAGCTTCGAGAAGCTCAGGCCGAGCTGGCGCAGAAACTGGCCGAGATCTTCAGTCTGAAGACACAACTTCGGGGCAGTCGTGCACAAGCCCAGGCTCAGGATGCTGAGCTGGCCCGGCTGCGGGAGGCTGTGCGCAACCTGCAAGAGCAGGCACCTCGGGAGGAAGCCCCCGGCAGCTGTGAGACGGATGACTGCAAGAGCAGGGGACTGCTGGGGGAGGCAGGTGGCAGCGAAGGCCGAGATGGGGCCGAGCAGCTGCGGGCAGAGCTGCTGCAAGAGCGGCTCCGTGGCCAGGAGCAGGCGCTGCGCTTCGAGCAGGAGCGGCGGACTTGGCAGGAGGAGAAGGAGAGGGTGCTGCGCTACCAGCGGGAGATTCAGGGGGGTTACATGGACATGTACCGCCGCAACCAGGCGCTAGAACAGGAGCTGAGGGTGCTGCGGGAGCCCCCTACGCCCTGGAGTCCTCGGCTGGAGTCCTCCAAGATCTGAGGCCAGCCGAGGGTGCTGCTTGCAGACGCACTATCAGAAGATGCCCGGATTCGGCTGGCTCCTGCCTTGCAGTGGTCTGGGGCAGAATCTGTAGAGGCCGTTGTAGGAATGGGAGGTCCGCTTAGAGGAGGGATCCAGCCAGCAGTGGGCTAGATAGAGTACCAGCTCCAGGAGCCATGGTTCAAAACCTTGCTGGCAGAAGAGCATCCAGGCAGGGCCCAGTCCTGCTCCCTACAGTGGGTGTGGTCCAGTAAAGGAGGTTGGAGCATTCAGAGCCCCATGATGCAAGAGAGCAGGTGTGAGGGAGGGTGGCTGCAGATCTGGGCTGGTCCATGTAAGGAGCCTAGGATGGAAGCATTAGCCTCCTCCAGAATAAAACCACATTTTCTATGAGGAGGCCCCAGTTGATAACATTGTCCCTGGCCTGAATCCAGAGGTTCCTAGATGGTCAGTGTTCTGGGCCTTGGACCTAGGCAGTAGCTCCTTCCATGGGCACGTTCATAGGGAGAGTATTTCCTGTGTTATCTGCAGTTGCTGGGCATGTGTGTTGGAGAAAGGAGGAATACTACTCCCTGCCCCTTCCCGTACCACACAGTTCTTCGTGTGGGCTGCAGCCCCTTCAGCACCAGTGGATTTTTGAGAAGAAACAATACAGGAACACCAGGAAAACAAAAGGATAATTGAAGCACAGCATTTTGAGAACAGGAAATGTTCTTTGGGTGGGAAGTCTGGACCCTGGGTGCCCAGGATGCTGCTGTGTTTGGAGCCAGCCCAAGACAGCTTTCCCTGGAACATATAAAACTCCCAAGTACCCACCTCCCTCCTCTAGCTGTGGTGTGCCCCTCCCTCTATAGAGATGGAGGCTGAAGGCAGGTACAGAAGCTCCTGGGGTCATTTCCCATGGGCAGTGGAGGCCTGTGGGGTGTTTTAAGCAGGAGTGAGAGATGATCTAATGTGTGTTCTAGAAAGCTTTGGGGAAGGAGTCCCTCATTCTCCACAATCATCCTGTACCCAGCTGCTGAACTGTCAGTCCTCTTTGGCCTCTGCTTCCAGCTAAAGCTGGTCACGGGTCTCTGAAATCCAAAACCACTCCTAGCCTCAGTAATGGGGCACATCCCATGGGCTTTGCTCCCTCTTGGGTTAGTGACCCGGTGCAGCTGATGCCTACCTGCGTGCCTCTTTTTGCCAGAATCTTGCTATGTAGCCCTGACTAGCTTGGAACTCACTATGTAGATCAACCCGGCCTTGACCCAATCCTGCCTCTGCCTCCCAAGTGCTGGAATTACAGACGTGCCATCCCTCAACCTGTCTGCTTTCCTTTACCTTTCTCTTTTCCTGGTTTTAGACAGGGTGACTCTCCATGTAGCCCAGGCTTGCCTTGAACTCAAAATATTCCTGTTTCTGCCTCTTAGGTGCTAGGATTACAGGCAAGTACCCTGACTCTTGGGCTCTCATCTTTAGAGGGAAAGCTCTGCACTTACTGTCTGTCGAGCACTATGGTGGACCCTTGTGGTCTCGAGGACACAAGGTGAATTTGGTGTACTTACCTGCCCCAGGGGAGACACCTTCCAGTCCCTTCCCTAAGTAAGACCACTGGGAAGGCCTTTTAAAGTGTACCACAGAGCTCTGGGTCACTCCCTTTGGCTATCTTTTAGTCTTCTCAGGCCATGCCTGAAGTCTCTGAAGCCCAGCAAGTAGGTACCAGGGTGCAGATGGCCACTTGTGGGCCGTGGCACAGGAACTGATGGGGCCCACCTTTTTTAAGGGTGGAGAGGGGTGTGTCAGTTGTCTGCTGTTTATGGGCTGTGAGTGGCAAGTGTGTATGTGTGTGTGTGTGTGTGTGTATAAAAGTGCTTGTGGGTGGTGGGTGTGACCAAGGGGATGTGTCTGGGGCACCTGGACTCCAAAAGCCAGCACTTGGATAAAAGCCAGGAAGGCTGCTTCCTGACCCTCCCCTCCCCCATTTTTTCCTGCCAGTCAGACCTAGTTCCTCTTTGCACACTGGTCACACCTAGCTAGACCCAGATGGACCCCTTGGGCGCCACCCCCCAGCTCTGGTCTACCTCCCGAGGAGGGAAAGTGGAAGTGCAGGGGTTAGGTAGGCCCGGCCCGGCCCGTTCCCCCTCACCCCCATCCCACAGGCCTTGCTACCCACTTCCATTTCATTGGCCACTCCAAACCCATGTCTCTGAGCCAGCAGCCTCCCAGAAAGTCAGTCTCCTTCACAATCCAAATGTTGGCCTGAAACCTGATTTACTTCCTCACCAGAACCAGGAGCTAATCCGTGTCCCAGAGTGACTGGGACCCATCTTTTGGTGTGCCTGCTCTGCAGAGCAGCTCCCCACCCAGCAATTAGGAGAGCCAGTAGAGCCAGTGGGCGGTACCAAAACTTGGCAGCCTTGCCAGAAACCAAGGCCAGGCCCAGATGTAGGGGGGAGGGCTGCTCAAAAGCAAATTTGTGTGTTCATCCATGCTGGGCAAACCAGTTTCCTGGTCCCTAAGCAGGCTGGGTGACTCTGGGGCCAGCTGGTCACAGAAGTCACAGTTTAGGGGAAGCCCCTCCCTGTTGCCCCTGTGGACCCCTTCCCCTTTGGGCTTGGCCCAGCCAGCCAGTTGTGTGGAAGTATGGTGAGCACCTAACTACTCCTGGCTCTCTACCTCTGATTGCTCCTGTTCACCTAATGTTAGACCTGTCAAAACTCTCCCCTTGGCTTGTTACTCAGTGCTACTGACTGGCTTCCTGGGGCTATGGATAGTTGTCTTTCCAACCTTAGTGACCTCTTGTCCCTTTAGATGCCCCCCTCCTCCAGGCTGCCCTGAACCAAAGGTTTATAGGGAGTGGAGACAGGGCACTTACTGGAGCCTACTGTGGATGGAGGGAAGATGCTTGAGCAGGTCTTAGACTGAGCCCTTGTGTTTCTGGTATCCACAGAGGAGGCAGACAGCACTTGGATCTTGCTTCTCAAAGAACCCTTTTCAGAAACACCTCCCCCAATCCTAGACAGTCCTGTGCCCACAAGCTTCTGTGCCTCATCAGGTCTTTCTACATTGCAGTGATTGTTGGTCTACTGTGGGTCTTGCCAAGGCAGAGGGGTGGCTTGTTTTTCCCCTTTGGAATGCTCCTGGCTCCAGACCCCTCCACTGACTTAGGATAGCACTGAGGTGAGAGACTGGGTAAATGTTCTAACAGCCACTTTTGAGGACCCATTCCATGCCAGGTCATTCAGGAGAGGAAATGAATGTGACTTTGTCAGGCTCTCCTGTGTTGAAGGCCTCAAAACTTCTATGTAGCCAAGGATGAGCTTGAACTTCTGATCTTCCTGTCTCTACTTTCCAAGTGCTAGGATTACAGGTGTGTGCCATTGTACAGTGCTGGGAATTGAACCTGGAGCTTTGTACTGGACAAGCACTCTATCAAGGGAGCTACATCCCCAGCCCCACAATGAGATATTTGAAAGAAAAAACAAGTTGTGTGTGTTATGAGAAGAGGGGCTCCCCAGAGCTTGGAGGAGAGTGATTCATGTAGTTCATGCAGTGGGATAAGCCTTGTAACTCATGGAAGGACAAGCTGGCCTCCACTAGGTCAGAAGGGTGTTTTCTTGAGTGGTGTAGAATGGTATCCAAGAATGTTCTTGCTTTGGACATGGGAGAAGTATGGGTTAAGTTCCAAGGGAGCATCCTGTCTGGAAGTCAGGAGAGGAGGAGGAAGAATGGGAGGGATGGCAGATCTGGACGGCACAGGAGCCCTGAAGCAACACAGCTTTCTCTGTACATAACCCTGCAACACACAGGCCCAACATTTGGTGGTATTATACTGTCATCATCAGGAAATCCTTAGTTTTTGGTTTGTTTGGTTGATTTTTTTTTAAATTATTTTTTACTTGTATGAGTGTATTGCCTGCATGTGTGTTAAGTGCACTCATGTTGTATAGTGCCCCAGGAGGCTAGAAGAAGGCGTCAGAGCTGGATGTGGTGGTGCACATCTTTAATCCCAGCACTCAGGAGGCAGAGGCAGGTGGGGCTACATGGAGACCCTGTCTCAAAAAGACCCCCCCAAGAAAGGCATCAGATCCCCTGGAACTGGAGTTACAGATGGTTGTTAGCTGTCATGTATGTGCTGTGAATCAAACTAGGTTCCTCTGCAAGAGCAGCCAGTGATCTTAACCACTGAGCCATCTCTCTAGACCCTGGTTGGTTGATTTTTGAGACGGTCTCCCTGTAGCCTCAGCTGGCCTGGAACTCACTATATAGATCAGGCTGGCCTTGAACTCACAGAGATCTACCTGCTTTTGCCCTCTGAGTGCAAGGATTCAATGTATGCGCCACCATTACCTGGCCCAAGAACTTGTTTGAAGAAGGGACCCCACATTTTCATGTTCTGCATCTTGCAGATGAAATAGGTGGCCTTGAGCTAGGCATGGTGGTGCACACCTTTAATCCCAGCACTTGGGAGGTGGAGGCAGGCAGATCTCTGAGTTCGAGGCCAGCCTGGTTTACATAGTGAGTTCCAGGCCAGCTGGGGCTACAGAGAGACCCTGTCTCAAAAACACCAAAAGGGAAAAAAAAAAAAAAAAAGAGGTGGCGTTGACTTGCAAGAAGAGGTAGTACAGGGCGCTCTGGGCCTTTGCTGGTTCCCAGTACCTACTTCCCCAGCCATCAGAGATGGGCCATTTTTTCATCTTTTTTAGCTTTGCCTTTGAGGACTTACTCTGAGAGGCAAGGAAGGCTGCATTTCTAATAGAGCATCTGACCCATGCTGAGGGCTATCCTCTCTTCAGAATCTTCTTTTAAAAAGATTTATATAATGTGTCTTATGTGCCTGTTCTCCATGCCCATTAAAGGATTTTACACACACACACACACACACACACACACACACACACACATTTTGTTTTCCCTGAAGGACATCTAACCCAGTGACTCATGAATGCTAAGCAAATATTACCATACTCCCATAAGGAAGGAGTCACATGGAAGAAAATCCATCCTTTTGGGGCAGAATTTTAACAAATACAGAATTATACAACCTATCCTGTAATTAAGATATAGAATACCATGGTGTGATGGTTCATGCCCTTAATCCCAGCACTCGGGAAGCAGAGACTGACAGATCTTTGAGTTAGAGGCCAGCCTATGCTGCACAGTAAGTTCAAAGTGAGCCAGGGCTACAAAAGTGAGATCCTGTCTGAAAAAAAGATTGTACAAGCACAATAGTTTTTTCAAAGAATGGTTACATCAGCCAGGCATGGTGGCGCATGCCTTTAATGCCAGCACTAGGGAGGCAGAGGCAGGTGGGTCTCTGAGTTTGAGGCCAGCCTAGTCTACATAGTGAGCTCCAAGCCAGCTGAGGCTATGAGAGACCCTGTCTCAAAAAGACCAGAAAAAAAAAAAAAAAAGGTTCCATCATTCCTCAAAATTGCCGGTGTCCCCTATGTGGCAGTCTTCCCCTCCTTACAGCCCCGGGCAAAAAAAAAAAAAAAAATTGTAAATATGTGTATGTTTGAGTCTCTGTGTGGGTACGTGTGTATCAGGGCAGTGCCCAAAGAGACCAGAGGTATTGGATCCCCTCAGACCTGGAGTTACAGGCAGTTGTGAGCCACTAGATATTGGTGCTGGGAAACCCAATTTGGATCCTTCGCAAGAGCAGTACTTGCTCTTAAATGCTGAGCCATTTCTCCACCCCCCACCCGTAGTCCTAGTTCACTCTCTAAATGACCTTCTGGGTTTATTTCTTTTTCCTTCTTTTGTGAGGGGTATTTAATCTCACCTCTCTCATATATGTCAGAACACACTACAAAGTAACAAGAAAAACAGTAGGACAATGTAAAAATAAATCTACCCTTCTATGGAGTGAATGGAGAGCCAGAAATAGATTCCATTTTCATAGAAAACCTATAGGATAAAGGGCTCACAAAGGAGAACCAAAGGAAAGAATAAAACTTAAGGGAAAGTGTTTGGCACCACACCATCATGAAGTAAAGTGGAGGTTTTCTTCTGTGTGTGCATGAGTGCATGTGTGTATAGGACAGAGGTCAATAATGGATGTCTTACTCAACTGCATTCCACTTTTTTTTAAGGTTTAATTTTTAAAACTTATTTCCATTTTGAGCCAGGCGTGGTGGCACATGCCTGTAGTCCCAGCACTTGGGAAGCAGAGGCAGGTGGATCTCTGTGAGTTCAAGGCCAGCCTGGTCTACATAGTGAGTTCCAGGACAGCTGGGGCTAGGGAGACCCTTCTTCAAAAAGACAAAAAAAAAAAAATTATTTCCATTTTATGTGTAGGAGTGTTATGCCTGCATGTATGTAAGTGCAACTGTGTCATGCAATGTCTGCAGAGGCCAGAAAAAAGCATTGGATCCCCTAGAACTAGAGTAATGGACTGGTGTTAGCTGCCATGTGGGTGCTGGGAACTGAACCTGGGTCCTCTGCAAGAGCAGTCCTTTTTCATTGGTCTTTTTTGAGACAAGGTCTCCCTGTAGCCCCAACTGGCCTGGAACCCACTATGTAGACCCAGGTTGGCCTTGATCTCAGAGACCACTGTTGCTATATCACAAGTACTGGACTAAAGGCATGAGCTACAATGCCTTTTTTTGTTTTTTTCAAGTAGGGTCTTACTATGTAGCCCTGGATGTCCTGAAACTCACTATGTAGACTAAGCTGAGTTGTTTCTGCCTCCGCCTCTTGAGGTTGGGGATAAAAGGCTTGTGCCACCCTGCCCAGCTTCCATCTTATTTTTTGAGGCAGGGTCTCTTATTAAACCTGGAGCTAACCAATTCTGCTAGGCTGGCTGCTCCTGTTGCCACCTCCTCACTCAGAGGATTACAAACAGCTTTTTTTTTTTTTTTTTTTGTCTTTTTGAGACAGGGTCTCCCTGTAGCCCCAGCTGTCCTGGAACTCACTATGTAGACCAGACTGGCCTTGAACTCACAGAGATCCGCCTGCCTCTGCCTCCTGAGTGCTGGGATTAAAGGCTTGCTGCATAATGCCCCGCCAAGACAGCTTTATAAGTAGGTGACAGATACCGAACTCAGGTCATTAAGCTTGCACAAGTCCTTTACCGAGCAGCCATCTCCCTAGCCCCCTTCCTCCTTCGAGCCTTCCTTATTCCTTTGGAAACACTACAGGGAAGGGGGCGGTGCAGAGAGGAACATCCTGGAGATGCCTGGCAGTGTCTGGGGAGCCTGGGTGGTCCTGGTCTCACACACAAGTCAGTCGTGGGGGCGAGACTTTGAATGAGCCTTGTTTGGAGCCAAGTACTGACAGGACCTTACAGGCTTTCTAGAATGCCTCAGGCTTCCCCACTTCCTTTCTGGACAGCCTCACCACTTGTGAGCAAAGCTGGGCTTCTAGTTCCTGAAGCAGATGACATCAGATCACTTAACCTTTGTTTCCACCAGTGGCTGTCCTAGTCACTGTGCATGGGTTTTGTGACACACTTGGTTTCTGTCATTCTTCATTGGATTGTACTTTTTTTGTTTCAAAAGGTTGTGAGCCCCAGTTTCCTTTTTCGTAAGCAGAGGGTGTCAGTCAGCTGCCAGCATCTCTGTGCGCCTACTGTGCTCCAGCAGGGATGACCAGAACAAAATCCTGGCCTCAATGGAGATTTTATCCTAACTGGCAAAGAGGCGGAGACAGGAACCTTAAGACTCAATCAACAAATAAACACTTAACTTCAAACTAAGGCTGTAATGAAAACAGAACTTAATTATGCAAGTACTAAAAAGAAAACAAGATTGTGCAAGGTGGAGGAGGAGGCAGGGAAGCCAGGGAAGAGGGAAAGGTAACTGGAGTGAATAGCCTGGAGGAAGACCAGCAGGAAAAGGAAAATGCCTGAAAAAGAGGGAAAAAAAACTGAGATCACACCTTTACTTTGAGATCTGGGAGAGAAGGGCAGGTTTTCCTCTACTCCCCTGAAGGCACGAGGGTCCTAACTGATAGGTAAAAATGTTGGAGAGAGCGGATGGAGGAGGCACCGAGGCACAGATGGAATTCTCAGCGGGATACAGCTTTATTTCGCACGGGGCACCTTTCCCTCGGGAAGGGAAAGATGTCAGGGAAGGGAAAGATGTCAGCGAAGGGAACGGTGTCAGGGAACGGAAAGGTGTCAGGGAAGGGAAAAGTGTCAGGGAAGGGAAAGGTGTCGGGGAAGGGAAAGGTGTCAGGGAAGGGAAAGATGTCAGCCCACGGGTTGTGAGCTGGGACTTATATATGGGGGCTTTAAGGTGTAGAAGGGGGGAATGTTTGGGGGAGAAATCAGAGAGGGGGAAGCAGGAAAAGCAGGTAGGATTAGGGTCTGGAAGTGTTTACTTTTTCCCTCTTAAGAGAAAAGCTGTTGTGATAAACAACTTCTAAAATCTCTGGTTATCAGGTAGAATTGACTTCAAAGGTCAAGGTGCTTAGCTCAGTTCCCTTTTTCCGGCTCCAAAGTCTGTAGGTCCCTGTTGGGGAGGGGGGAAGCTGCTGCTGTTTGGAACCCTAACACTAACTAGGTGTGGAGGTGCACACCTGTAATCCCAGTACTCAAGAGGTAGGGACAGAAAGACGAACACCCAGCAATCCTCCTGCCTCTGCCTCCCAAGTGCTGGGACTAAAGGCGTGCGCTCAGTTCCCTTTTTCCGGCTCCAAAGTCTGTAGGTCCCTGTTGGGGAGGGGGGAAGCTGCTGCTGTTTGGAACCCTAACACTAACTAGGTGTGGAGGTGCACACCTGTAATCCCAGTACTCAAGAGGTAGGGACAGAAAGACGAACACCCAGCAATCCTCCTGCCTCTGCCTCCCAAGTGCTGGGACTAAAGGCGTGCGTCACCACACCCGGCCCATTTTTCCTTTAAAGACAGGTTCTCAAGTAGCTCAAGCTGGTCTCGAACTCACTACGTAGCCAAGGATGACCCAGAACTGATCTACCTCCACCTCTTCTCAAGTGCTGGGATTACAGGCGAGCACCACCATGCACGTCACACTTGGTAGTCAGGCTGGCCTGGAACTGGCGGCGATCCGCCGGCCTCAGCCTAATCTTTGCATTAGAGGCTGTAGAAATTGCTTGCGGTAGAGGGCTGGCGGCAGGCTAGGCAAGTGCGCAGACCAGCACTTCCGGTCCCGGGTCCGCAATCCAGTGGTTCCGACTCTGATCCGCCCGGGCTCGGACTCCGAAAGCCGGCGTGCCGGTAGTGCGCAGGCGCCGGCCGCCTGGCTCCTGCGGGCGATTCCATTCTGCACCCGGGGCAAAGCCGCGGGCGTGGCGGACTGTTTTTCTCTCCCTCCACCTCCGCCGCTCCGCACATGGGCCAGCCCGGACCCTCCCGAGGGGCAACTGCCGCGCCTTCCGGTTCCGATGACAGCGGCGCCGGAAGCCGGCCCGGCTGCAGGGCTAGGCGAGCGCCTACGGGCTCCGGAGCTGGGGGATCGGAGGTGAGCGCGCCTCGCGGGGTGCGGCCCCACGACTGCCCGAGCCCTCGCATCCTTGCCCGTTCTCCCCGCAGTCGGCCGGCAGCAGCCGAAGCTTCGGCCCCGACCTCCAGGCGGTGGTGGAGTCGCCAGACCCCGACCGCGCATTCCGGTGCCACCCGACCGGGTCGGAGGTAACCCGCTGCGGGCGATGGGACCCGGGCCAGCTGGGCATTTGAGGAGGTGGAGGGGTTTGCCGGTCTTTTGCACATTAGTGCAGGTGAAGTCCCAGTCGTGGCAGCCCCCCCCAGCCTCCCCCCAGGGTTCAGGGTGGACTTTTCCAGTTTTAGCCGAAAAGGAAAGTGTGCTTTGAAACTTCAGCTAGGGTTGTGACTTGTTTGAGGATAGAGTACCGCATTAGATGTTGTGGTCCCGTGGTCCATCTCTGAAAAGATGACGTGTGTTGAGGTCAAAGTAACATTTCCCCAGACGTGGGTGTGTATGTGGAAAGCATGTTCTTGGCAGAGGCCAGAGGGCATGCAAAGGCCCTGAGACAGAATTAAACTGGATATACTCAGCAACGGAAAGGGGAGAGTGTTTGAAATGAGGTCAGGGAGTTTGTTCACATAATGTTTTGTTTTCTTTTTGAGGCAAGGTCTCACTGTGTAGCCCAGCCAGGCCAGGAACTCACTGTATGCCTGAGGTTGTTCTTGAACTCAAGATCTTCCTGCCCTAGCCTCTAGACTGCTCGGATTACAGGCTTGTACCACCGGTCCAGCCTTGGTTTTATTCCTCTAATAGCAGAATATGTTGCTTTTTGGCAGAGGACTGATACACACGCAGGGTGGAAAAGGGATAGGAACGTGCATGCAGAAGCAGAATTAGGTCAACAGAGGCAGTGCATTCTGTGTCAGGCTGTGGGGACAGCATTCCGTGGTTTATACTAACTTCCCCTCTCATGGTGGTCCCAGTAGTCCCTATTTCAAGTTGCTAAATACTGGGAGCAAAAATCCCCATGCCTGAGTTGGTGGGGATTTTATTTATGTATTTATGTAGTAGTAGCATTTTGTGGTATTGGAAATTGAACACAGAACATCCTGTGTGCCACACAGCACTGTACCACCTAGCTATATCCCCAACCCTCTTTTTACTTAATATTATTTTTATTATTTTTTTATATGTATGGGTGTACTGCCTGCATGTAAGTGCACCTGTGTTGTGCAATGCCCATGGAGGTCAGAAGAGGGCATCAGATCCCCTGGAAATGGAGGTAGGCTGGTTGTTAGCTGCCATATGGGTCCTGAGAACCAAACCCAGGTCCTGTGCAAGAGCAGCCAGTACTCTTAACCTCTAAGCCACCTCTCCGTCCCTTCCCTTATTATTTTGATTCAGGGTTTCACTGAGTTGCCCAGGCTTACTCTGTAGCCCAAGCAGACTTTGAACTTGCATTCCTCCTGTCTCACCCTCCCCAAGTAGCTAGGATTACAGGTCTGTGCCACCAGACTAACTTTGCTGGAGATTTTTTTGAGATGGAGGTGCTGTTTAATCAATACAGGCTTACTGAGCCCTGCTCTGACCTGGACCCTGCAGCAAGAGAGGATGAGAACAGCCCCCAGGCTTTGCTTAGCTCATAGTCCAGTGGGGGAGACACATGTGAACAGGCAGTCAGGAAGATGTGTGGGACCAGCCCCCTGGCCAGGTTTGTGAAGCAAAAAAGGCGGCTGGGGTGCTGGGAAGATGTCTCAGTGCATAAAAGCGGGAGTTGGATCCCTAGAATTCTTATAAAAAGCCTAACACAGTGGTATGCATCTGTAATCCCAGCACTTCTAAAGCTGGGAGGGGGGAGATGGGAGACTCTTCAGGAAGCTCCAGGGAGCCATCCTGCCATGAACAAGAGACCCCGCCCCAGTAAGATGGAAGATGTGTGCCATGGCACATGAGCACTGCACTCTGACACAGAAATCTAAAATACAGAACACAAAGGCAGAGCGGTCTTTGGTGGCTTCTTGGGGAGCCATGTTTAAACTGTGGTTCCCAGTCTCCTTGCAGCCAAGTACAGAGGGCACTCCACATAGGAACAGCCTGTGAAGAAAGCGATTGAGTAACTTCACCTGGCCTTGAGCTCGCAGAGATCCACCTGCCTTAGTGCTGGGAATAAAGGTGTGTGCTATCATGCCTGGCTGGACATTTCTGTTTTTCTTTTTTTCTTTTTCTTAATATTTTATTTATTTTTGGTCTTTTTGAAGGAGGGTCTCCCTGTAGCCCCCAGCTGGCCTGGAACTCACTATGTAGACCAGGCTGGCCTTGAACTCAGAGATCTTCATGCCTCTGCCTCCTGAGTGCTGGGATTAAAGGCATGCACCATCATGCCCAGTCCCTCGTTTTGGGTTGCTGGCTTGGGTTTCCCTCTGATAGTGGTCCTGATATGAAGTGGTATGTGACAGAGCCAGACATTTTTCCCTTGGTGAGATCCTGTCCAGAGCCATCTTGTCTTTGATAAATTGTGATGCTGGTTCCCAGACACCATTCTTTGTCCTGCTGTCTTCCCCGGCTGGGGGTTCCCAGGGGCTCCCTGGTTAATTTCCTGACTCTTGTCATCATTGTTAGCCTCTGTACATTCAATCCCAACCACAGATGACATGCCACTGTCCTTTTCTGGTGGGACAATGGCCTTTTTCATTGGTTCTGTTGTACGACTACTTAAGGGGAGGACCTGAGCCCAGATCTGACGGGCAGCCTTCTTCCTCCTGTTCTCACTGGGCTGTTTGTTTCATCTCTACTCGTCTCATTTTGTCAGCTGCAAAGTGGGTCTAATAACCCTACCTATCTCATAGTGTTGTGAGAACTAAGTGAACCAGTTAATGGGTGTGAAGTCATTGGAACAGTGCTGGGCACATAACAAGCCTTCAGGAAATGTTAGCTAGTAATGACCAAAATAATTATATCTTTTTTATTTATTTATTTATTTATTTTTTGGTCTTTTTGAGACAGGGTCTCCCTATGGCCCCAGCTGTCCTGGAACTCACTATGTAGACCAGGCTGGTCTTGAACTCACAGAGATCTGCCTGTCTCTGCCTCCCAAGTGCTGGGATTAAAGGTGTGCTCCACCACGCCCGGCTTATATAATTTTTAATATTTTTTTATTTTTATTTTATGTATATGCATGTATTGCCTACATGTAGGTAAGTGCACCCGTGTCGTGCACTGTCTGCAGAGGACCTGAAGAGGCTGTCGGATCCCCTGGAACTGGAGTTACAGACAGTTGTTAGCTGCCATGTGGGTGCTGGGATTTGAACCTGGGTCTTCTGCAAGAACAGCCAGTGTTCTTAACCCCTGAGCCATCTCTCTAGCCCCACAGAGATCCGCCTGCCTCTTCCTCCTGAATGCTGGGATTAAAGGCATGTGCCACCATGCCTAGCTGACTATGTCATTTTTAAACGGGTTTCCCTGTTAATGTTTTGCCCACATTATCTTCTATCTAGTTCCCAGAGTTTGGTTGGGTGAGAATGTGACATCTGGACACTATGATCACAAATTTTAGTACGTATGATAGCCTCAGCCAAGGTGTGAAAATATTCCAAGGCCTAGTGCCATTCCCCTGTCACTTGTCCCCCATCTGAGAGGGAGACTGGCTATCAAGTGGGGCTGAGGTGGGGAGGCCAGGCTAGGTGGTACATGCAGGACTAGGGGACTGGTAGTGTGAAGACCCCATGGTCACCTTGGAAACAGAGGCTTCTTGTGATGTTTCTTGGTGAGAGTCTCTGAGAGAGTGAACTGGCTACATTGACCCCTTTAGTTTAGAGAAACACAGCCCTCTTCCTTTCTTGAAAGGAAATCAACTTTGTTGCCAAATCCTGAGGATTATCTGTACACTCTGTTGTAGGCTACTCTGAAAAGGAGGGAAGCAGAGTGGAGAGGGTTTAGGAAGAGGCCACAGTGGGAAGGAGGTGGAATAAGAAAAGTCAACTTTGGGTTGGGGAGCTGACTCAGTGGGCGAACCCCTTGCTCTGCAAGCATCAGGACCAGAATTCAAATCCCTAAAACTCATGTAAAGTGGTGGACATCTGTAATCCTATGGTGAGATGGGAGGCAGACAGAATCCCTGGAAGCTGGCAAGCCAGCTGGCCCATGTGCAGCAGCGAACGTTAAAGAGATCCTGTCTCAAACAAGGTAGAAAGTGAGAACTGACACCCAAGGGTGCCCTCTGACCTCCATACTCGCGCCAAGGTATGCACATGTGTGCCCATATTCACACACACATACACATGAACACACCTCATACACACCAAGAAAAAAGCCAGCTTCCTCTTCCTGGCATAATGAAGCAGAGAAGCTTCTGGTGTGGCGGGCAGAGGGTGCAGACTGAGAGTGAAGGGAGCCACGAGGGGCAGGTACCAGTGGAGGGTAGGCCAGGGCCGGCAGCCTACAGCAGCCAGAAGGCACATGGGGAGGCTGCAGCATGTTCGTGGCCTGCACTGTGAGAGCAAGGGTTCTGGCTGTCTTTAGGGATCAGTGGGGGCGGCCCAGCAGAGAGCACGGTTGGCAGTTATTCCCTAAGCTGCATTCCAAATAACAGCTATGCAGGAGCAGCCTTCATGGTATCTCCCCATAAAACAGGAGAAACCAGGCCAGGCATGGTGGCACAGAGGCAGGTGGATCTCTGAGTTCCAGGCCCTCTTGGTCTACATAGTAAGACCCTGTCTCAATAAAAATAAAAATTAAAAAAAAGCTCACTTCTCTAACTGGAAGAGAAGATAGCCATACTGAGTATATGAAAATGCATGCAGTGTGACACTACGTGGTTTGATCATATAGCCTATTAGGGCCCTATGAGGCCTATTCTTTCTTCTAATTAAGAAGGGAAATGCAGGGGCTGGAGAGATGGCTCAGCGGTTAAGAGCATTGGCTGCTCTTGCAGAGGACTTGGGTTCAGTTCTCAGTACCCACATGATGGCTAACAACCGTCCTAATGGCTCCAGGGGATCTGACACCCTCTTCTGACCTCCATGGGCATTGTACCTGTGGGTGCATCTTAAATACATGCAGGCAGCACACTCAATACACATAAAAATAAAAATGTAAAGATAAATAAAAAGAAGGGAAATGAGGACTTAGGATGTCTTAGTCAAGTATTTGCTTTATAAGCACGAGGACCTGAATTAGATCCCTAGAACACGTGTAGAAATGGGCCTGGTGGCACGCGCCTGTAATCTCAGCCCTGGGGAGGTAGGGAAGAGAACCCCCTGGGGCTCATTGTTGAGCTCCAGGCCAGTGAGAAACCCTGTCTAAAAGGAAGTGGACAGCATTCCTGGGGACAGCACTTGAGGTTGGCCTCCACGTGTACTTGCCTTTAAAAAAAAGATGCTGGGCATAGTGGTGTACGCCTTTAATCCCAGCAGACAGACGCAGGCAGGTGGATCTCTGTGAGTTCTAGGCCAGACTGGTCTATATAAAGAGTTCCAGGCCAGCTGGGGCTACAGGGAGACCCTGTCTGTAAAAAACAAACTAAAGATGAAGAGATAATAGGGAGGGCATCAGGTTTACAACAGTCATTTTCTCACCATCATCCCAAACAACCCTCTCCTTATGCCATCCTGGGTCCTCCACTGGACACAGCAGCTGTGGTGGGTGGGAAGCGCTTTGTTTAGTAGGGAATTTCTGCCTATTGATACATTATGTGGGAAGGCCGAGAGGGATCTGAAGAAATGATGTGGGGAGCCCCCCTTGTCTAGATGAGGCCTGACCCAGCTTACTTCCCCAGGCAGGCATCATCATGGAGCAGTGCGCGTGTGTGGAGAGGGAACTGGACAAGGTCCTGCACAAGTTCCTGACCTATGGGCAGCACTGTGAGCAGAGCCTGGAGGAGCTGCTGCACTACGTGGGCCAGCTGCGGGCTGAGCTGGCCAGTGCAGGTGCGTGGCTGCCATGGGGAGGTGGGTAGTCCAAGAGCAGTGGGCATTGGGGTCTCCGAGGGACTGTAGTTAGGACATTAATCATGTATCCCTTGGCCTCCTCAAAGGGGAAAATGGCATCCTCAATTCATTCAGAAAGCCCAACAGAAATTATTTTCTTAAAGATTTATTTTTACTATTTTTTAATTAGTGTGTATGTGTGTCTGTGTGTGGGTATGTGTACATGAGTGCAGTGCCCATGGAGTTCAGAAGAAGGTGACAGATCCTTTGGAGCTAGAGTTACAGGCTATTGTAAGACACTTGATGTGGGTGCTAGGAACTGAACGTGGGTCTTTTGCAAGAGCACCTTGATCTTAATCCCTGAGCCGTCTTTCCAGTCCTCAGAAACAATTTATCCAGAATTACTGTTAATATTACCATTTTGTTTTCAATTTGCTTTTCTAATTTTTTTCCCTTTTTCTGTTAAAATGTTTCCATGCTCTATCCCTACTGTGGCCCGCAGTAGTACCACAGTCAGTACTGCACACCTTTTTATGACTGATTAACATCCTATTGTATGTATTACCACATTTTGTCTCTATTGCTTAGTGGACATTTGGGTTGTTTCTACCTTTTAGCTATTATGAATAATGCTAAGAAGAATATTAATATACGAAGTTTTGTGGATGAAGTGCTGGAGAGATGGTGCAGCAGTTACCTGAGTTCAGTTCCCAGCATCCACATTGGGTGGCTCACAACTGTCTGTTACTCCAGTGCCTGGAGGTCTGATGCCCTCTTCTGGACTTTACAGACACCTGAACTCACATGTGCACATACCCCCCCCATATATACATAATTAAAAATAAAATAAACCTTTTAAACAAAAAACCCACAGGGTTTGTGTGGACATCCGTTTTCATTTCTCCTAGAAATGGAATTACTGGGTTATATAGTAACTGAGTTTAACTTTACTGTTAAATATAAAGAAATCTGAAACCAGGCCTGGCGGTGCATGCCTTTGACCAGCACTTGGAAAGCAGAATCAGGCAGTTCTTTGTGAGACTGAGGCCAACCTGGTCTACATAGGGAGTACCAGGCCAGCTGGGGCTATAGGGACACCTGGTCTGGAAGGGAGGAAAGAAGGAAGGAAGGAAATCTGTGTAGTACAGTCAATTCACAGAAGAAAATGAAGCTCACAATTGCCAAATCGTCACTTCCCAGCAACCTAGAATTTATAGCTGAGGAAGTAAGAAGGTACTGACTTGTCGCACTTGGCCAGTTGCAAGTCCTACAGTTAGAAAGTGGCTGGCCGTGGACTGGAAGCTCAGCGTTTCACTCTGGCATGTAGGCTGCCTTGTGTCCTCCAGGCTGGCACAGAGCCTAGAAGCAGGATCTGCTGAGAAGCAGGTGCCCAGGATCTGCCTCCTGCAACCTGGCTCAGCCCACTGTCTCCGCAGCTCTCCAGGGGACCCCTCTCTCAGCCACCCTTTCCCTTGTGATGTCCCAGTGCTGCCGGAAGATCAAAGATACAGTCCAGAAACTGGCTTCAGATCATAAGGACATTCACAGTAGTGTGTCTCGAGTGGGCAAAGCCATCGACAGGGTAAGTATAGAGGTGGCCCGAGGTCTAGGGATGGGGATGCTCCAGAGCTGGTATGTATGGGCTTAACAGGGTACAGGTGGGAGCTGGAGTCACAGGCCTTCTCTCCCCTTCAGAACTTTGACTCTGAGATCTGTGGTGTTGTCTCGGACGCCGTGTGGGATTCTCGTGAGAAACAGCAGCAGATTCTGCAGATGGCCATTGTGGAGCACCTGTACCAGCAGGGCATGCTCAGTGTGGCTGAGGAGCTATGCCAGGTAACGGCCCAGGGGCACACTGCCTTTTCTGGGGTTTTTTGTTGTTTAAGACAAGGTCTTCCTATAACTCCAGCCGGCCTATAGATGCCTGTGTAGATGAAGCTGGCCTCGATCTCAGAGAGATCCACCTACCTCTGTCTCCTGGGTGCTGGGGTTAAAGGCATACACTATCATACCCAGTTTGGTATTTTTTGTTTTGTTTAATATTCTTTACTAGTTTTGTTTTCTTGTTGGTTAATTTTATTTATTTTTTAATTTTATATGTATGCGTGTATTGCCTGCATGTAGGTAAAGTGCACCCATGTTGTGCAATGCCCACGGAGGTCAGAAGAGGCTGTTGGATCCCCTGGGACTGGAGTTATGGACAGTAGTTAGCTGCCATGTGGGTGCTGGGATTCGAACCCGGGTCTTCTGCAAGAACAACCAGTGTTCTTAACCTCTGAGCCATCTCTCCAGCCCTTTTAATTTTTTGTGTGTGGATCCCTTAGAACTGGAGTTGTAGATTGTTGTGAGTCAATATGTAGGTACTGGGAACTTAACCTGGGTCCTCTATAAGAGCAGCAAGTGCTCCTAACTGCTGGGCCATCTCTCTAGTCTTTTTTTTTTTTTTTTTTTTCAGATAAAGTTTAGCTAGCTGTACAGCCCAGGCTGGCTTCCAACTTGTCCTGCCTTCACCTCCCAAGTGCTGGGATTGCAGGAGTGTGCCCCATCCCATGCCTGATCACCACTGTTCTTTACAGACATTTATTTTAGAAAGGAAATTGGCCCCCTGCCACAAAACAGAAGATAGCTCTAAATATATTTGGGATGAAAAGCAAAGTTACTGATTTCTAGTTAGAGTTGGTTGCCTGCCAGGGTGCCGAGCCAAGGTTCGCTATCCTTTTTTTATTAAGGGAATTAGTGAAATGACAAATAGCACTTGTTAGGTGCTAAACACACTGGCAATAGAAGTAGGCGACTTCGCCTTAATGTAATTAGGCAGAATGAAAGTAATTTTCTCACGAGGCTCTTCAGTGCCAGGCCTAGGAACTGTCTGCAGTGGTGGGAGGGGTCTGCACTCTGGGAGACCAGCTTGCCACCTTTAACCTCTCCAGGGTGGAAATGGAAAGACAGGGCCCAAGTTCCTGGCCGGAGACCACCACTCCTCTGGCAAACCCTGCCCCTATCTAGCCAGGTTTTGGCAGATGCAATTTTATGGGAATTTTGGGAGCAGTCTTCCGGTGACAGGATCTCTCTCCATCTCCCCCAGGAATCGACGTTGAATGTGGATGTGGATTTTAAGCAGCCCTTCTTGGAGTTGAACCGAATCTTGGAAGCTCTGCATGAGCAAGACCTGGGACCTGCACTGGAGTAAGGGGGCCATGGTGGCTGGTGGCCACACCGCCCCAGTCTCTCGGGGCACAGGGCTTGCCTGTGGTCTCCATTTTACCCAGATGTGCTTGACACCCCTCCAGCCCTGTCCTAGGGACTCACACCAGCACCTAGTTCCCTCTTAGGTTGGGGATCTACCAGGGTCTTTCTATAGTTACCACCAGCCAACCGCAGGGCTGCTGGGCCCTTTCTCCCCAGGTGGGCTGTTTCCCACCGGCAGCGCCTGCTGGAGCTCAACAGCTCCTTGGAGTTCAAGCTACACAGGCTGCACTTCATCCGCCTTCTGGCTGGTGGCCCTGAGAAGCAGCTGGAGGCCCTCAGCTACGCCCGGCACTTCCAGCCCTTTGCTAGGCTACACCAGAGAGGTAAGCACCCAGGGTTCTGGGATGCTGTGCTAGGCTCCAGCCAATGTCTGAACCTTTTAGGTGGCCAGTCTCTGTGACCATACAGTGTCTGGTCAAGCAGTGATTTTTTGTGGTATTTGGGATGATGCCAGAACTTCAGTGGTAGAGAAGTGTTCTACCAGAGCTGTACCCTCCCACTGCCCCCACTGCTCGAGTAACAAGTTTGTATGTTTTAGTTGAATACTCCTGTCTCCTGAAAGCGTCAAACTTCGATCTGCTGATAAAAAGGGAGATTAGTGGGGCTGGAGAGATGGCTCAGCAGTTAAGAACACTGGTTGTTCTTGCAGAAGACCGGGGTTCGAATCCCAGCACTCACATGGCAGCTAACAACTGTCTGTAACTCCAGTCCCAGGGGATCCAATAGCCTCTTCTGTCCTCTGCGGGCATTGCATGACATGGGTGCACTTATCTACAAGCAGGCAATACACGCATACACATTGAATAAAAATAATAAATTTAAAAAATGGAGATTAGTTAGGGCTGGTGAACAGAGACACTTTGTGTTAAGCAAAGACTTGCTCGTGATGCAGTTGGAAAGCTGGAGACCAGGAAAGTCCTCGCCTGTCTGCAGCCTGGAGGTCCTCATGCTGGCTGCAGGCATCCCAGTCCTGCCCTGTCTGGTCAGGGGCTTACAGCACTGTGCTCTGCAGTTCTGTGCCAACTGAGGGAGGGGTCAGAGACTCTTCTGTTCCCTGAGCTGCCATCCCATTGCCTTGTAGAGATCCAGGTGATGATGGGCAGCCTGGTGTACTTGCGGCTGGGCTTGGAGAAGTCACCCTACTGCCACCTCTTGGACAACAGCCACTGGGCGGAGATCTGTGAGACCTTTACTCGGGACGCATGTTCCCTACTGGGGCTTTCAGTGGAGTCCCCCCTCAGTGTCAGGTACTCAGCCTTGGGAGGGTAGCACGGGGGGTTGTGGGGAGGGCAGGTAGGGGCCCTGCCATGTACCAGGAGTGCTGCTTTCATAGACCTAAACAGGTCACCCTGAGATAGTGCCTGGTTTTACAGTTAAGAGTACAAGCACAGCCTCTCCTACAGGGTCCTCCTGGGTAACTGCAAGACCCTGTTAGTGATCAAGAGCCCCTGCAGCCACCCCTCACCTCACCCCAGACATCACTTCCCTGCAGAGCGACCTGGTGACCCAGTGACATGAGTTTAGAGCTTCTGCTTAATCTGTAGCGCAGTCGTCTTTGCTCACATCACAGCAGGCACAACGTAGAAGCTGTTACCCCATTTAACAGATGAGAAAATGGAGGTTCACTACGAGCGAACTTGCCAGGCTCTCATAGGAACAGAGGGCATTTGGACTTACCCCTGAGTCACATACTCCACCACAGTGAACAGCTGTCAGCGTCTATGTTAGAATGGCTATGGATCCCATGCTTTCCCCTCAATACAGTGAACCGACCCCTCACCTCCACTGCTGCTGTGGGCTCAGGTCATAGAACAGCATTTCCCAGAAAGGCCACCACTTCTCTGCTTCACAGGATCTGTTGGGCAGGGCTGCCCTGTATTTATAACCCAGGGTACTTACAACCTGGGGTTTTAGTCAGTAGACTCCCTGCTGCCCCAGTCATCTTGAGAACTGACCCCTTCATTTACAGACATCTTTGCAGGCATACTTACACAGGTCTGTTTTGACAACAAAGCAGGTTAACTACTGCAAGCAGACTGAGGCCCTTTCAAACTGACGACTGTTCCCTAATCAAGGACTGGTTGGATGAACACATTATCTGCCTGGTGTTTTCTTTCCTGGAGGCTTTCCAGTTTGGGGGTGCATTAGTGTGAATGTAGAGTTGGGCATGCTTAGCTACAAAGTAGCACTCTAAGGGACTCTCAAGCACCAAACTGACCTCACACCACTTTAGAGTCCCTCTTGGTCCCCTTTGGGACAATCTGGCCTGCTTCTTGTCTGCTGTCCATCAGTTCTTCCAGCTGCTCCAGCCCCTGCTATCTGTTTGCAGCTTTGCCTCTGGCTGTGTGGCACTGCCCGTGCTGATGAACATCAAAGCCGTGATCGAGCAGAGGCAGTGCACCGGGGTCTGGAGTCACAAGGATGAGCTACCGGTGAGGCCTGGCAAGGGGAGGTGCCACAGTGGCAGGTGCTGGGAAGCATAGTCAGGTCAGGAAGTGAAACTCAGCTCTTTGCTGTCCTCCTAGATTGAGATTGAACTTGGCATGAAGTGCTGGTACCACTCTGTGTTTGCATGCCCTATCCTGCGCCAGCAGACCTCAGATTCCAACCCTCCCATTAAGCTCATCTGTGGCCACGTCATCTCCCGAGATGCACTTAACAAGCTCATAAACGGAGGAAAGTAAGTTCCCCCTGCCCAGCTCCATTCTGGCCTGGCTCTCTTGATCAAGCCCTGAGATGTTCTTGATTTGCATCCCCTTACAGGCTGAAGTGTCCCTACTGTCCCATGGAGCAGAACCCAGCAGATGGGAAACGCATCATATTCTGAGTCCAAGAACTTTGCCGGAAGGGTTTTTCCCATGGACCTTAGTCTGTCTTGGTGGAGGGACTGGCTTTGTGGATTGTGATGCCCTTCAGCTCAGTACTACTGAGGGGCCTGAGGCCAAGGAAGGTGAAACCTGCCTGCCTCCTTGGCTGTCAGGAAGGGGAGGTACTGGTCTCTGGCTCAGCCTGTTTACATTTGCCTTTGACTTAGCAACTGGCAAGAGCAGCAAAGACCTTGGCCATCAGAAGCTGACATCTTTCCACTCTTGCCTTGAGCCAGGGGCATCTGGTTGTGGCCCACCTCCCCTGCTGAACAGCCTCACTGTACATATCCATTCTCCACTGTAAATTCTCCAATGAAAGCTGAATGCGGTTTTATAACTTTGAGCAAATATATCCACAGCCCTTTTTATTTCTGGCCAGGCTTGAGCTTCACCGACAGTCATGCATGCCCACCACAGGTGCTAGGCATAGCTTGGCAGCAGCTAACAAAACTGCACCAGCCACAGCACCATCTGTTTCAGGCAAAACTTGGGAGATGGCAGACTTGGGCATGGTGCTTTCCTGTGTACACATATAAAATCTTATCAGAAAGCTGTGTAGGTACACAGAAAAAGCAAAGTTTGGAGTTTCAACCAGTCCTTGCTGTAGCCCTAGCTGACCTGAACTCACACATCAGTGTTGGGATTAAAGTCATGTGCCACCATGCCCGGTGTTAACCAGTTCTAGAACTTCAGGCCCAAATTCACCTCAGATTATTCCAGGGGGCTTGAACTTGGTTGCTGTGTCCGTGTCCTGTGTGGGACTTTTGATAGCATGGGGCCCCGAGTCTAACATGTTTGAAGGGCTTAGTTATCAGGACATATGCCAGCTGACAAAAGAGGTCTGGGTTTTTTTATTTGGCTCCATATCCCTATTTACAATTGTCAGATATGTAAGGCTCCTGGAGGGAAAAGAAAAGAGGGATGGGAGAGCCCCTCGAACAGACCACAGGTTTCTTTGGCTGGGGGGGGGGGGGTGTCCTGCTGCCTCATCTCAAAGACTGGGCCTGTCCTGGAAGTAGGAGGTGAAGATGCAGTGGGCTGTGGAATCAGTGCTTGGCTGGAAGCTGAGCCATGGCCAGGGCTACCATTTGCAAGATACACTCCCTCAGCGTTCTGAGAAGGGCTGCTTCCGCTCCTGCCTGCCAGATCCTTGGTTGCACCAGCAGCTGCAGCTTAAAAACATCACAGACACACCGCATTTTCCCTTAGCATTTACTTCTACCCCACAGTCTTGGAACTGTCTTCATTTAAGCTCAACAGGAAATGGCACTGAGGGAAAAGATGCTGGTTCCACCTCCAAGAATAGCTGCTGAAGTGCCTGGGAAGAATCCATGCCTCAGAAAGTCAGGGAGACGCTGTGAGGGTGGGCAGCTGCCAGCAGCTCCAGGAACAGGTGCCAAAGTGCAGCCGAAGCCTCTCACAAAGGTGGTGGCAGGGCTTGCACCTCCTCCAGGCACTCGTCATAGGCCTCCTGGTACTCCTCATGGGGTTTCACCATGATCACACAGGTGGGACGCTTGGAACCTGCAGCCGCACCCAAGTCCTACACAGAAGGAAAGAACTGTTGGGAAAGCAGGCCACACAGACACTAGGAGGAATCACAGCGACCCACCAGCCTGCTCTGGCCCACAGCTGCATGCCATTAGTACACGTTGCATTTTAAAAACTAACTGGTTGCTGTCACTTAAACTGAAGCCAGCTTTCAAACTTTGATCCGCCAACCCTGAGCCTATATCCCTTGGGGCTCCTGCCTGGAGGACATCCCCTCATGCAGGGCAGAGCCTCTGCCCTCCAAGTCCCTGTTGTATAAGGATAAGGTGGGCTACAGGTCTGTAAAACACCTAGGCATGAAGCTACCCAACAGGAGAGCATGATGTAACCAGCACCTGAAAGTTTACAAAGCATGCTCAAGTGTGCAGCTTCTGGTCTCAGTACACAGAAGATTCCCACCTGATGAGAAAACCTGCCAACCAATGTGACGTTCTCTTTAGTCCCAGCTACACAGGGAGGCTGAAGGAGGGTCACCTGAGCCCAGGCATTTGGGTTCAGCCTAAACATCTCAAATTCTAGTACAGTGATGGGCTGATCCACAGTGGAGCCAAGAAGCTGCCAGACCTGGTCCTACCACGTGTTACTGCCTCAGCCTCCCTAGGCTTGGCCCAGATGGGGGTAGGGCACGTGGGCTCCTCACCGTCTTCGAGGGGATATACACATAGGGCAAGTTCCGGTCCTCGCACATAACTGGAAGATGGCAGTACACCTCGATCGGCAACGTGTCTCCTGCCAAAACCATGATCCTGCAAGGAGAAACCACCGTCATGTCTACTCTGCTCCCTCCTTTCCTTTCAATCCTCACTGCCACCTCTGAGCTGAGCTGTGAGGGCACAGAGATGCCCCGCCCTCACGAACCGCAGTGTTATGAATGCCAGCCTGCCAACTTCAAAGTCATGTTTGGCAAGTGCATTCTTCTGGGGAGGTGATCTTTGACAGCATGTAAATGCTACCAAACGTGACAAACGGCAGTGCTGAGAGGAGGCCTGGGAGGAGTGCAGAGGCATAGGCACTCAGTTCTCCTTGGAGTCAGGTTCTGACTAGGAGGTGACTCTTGAACAGAAGCTTGAGCATTACGTTACAGGGGGGCTCACAGAATGGCAGGGGCAGAATAAGGCTGAGAGGATCAGAGTGCTACCTAAGCATTGGTTGTCAGAAACAGGCTACTTTTGTAATACGTGCTCTGGTGGGGACAGACAACAAAGCAGCAGAGTGTAGCAAGGGGACACAAGGGTCTTGAACCTATTCTGGCCCAAGCTGAGGTTGTAAGCTGTCGATCTATCGGGCCCAAGAAGGAAGAGCGGTCTCTAAGGGTGGAGTGGCAAGCAGATGCAAGAGCCCTTGGTTCAGAGTCCAGCTTTCCATACCCTTCCTTCCCGCCTGGTCCTGGGCAGGTGGCTTTGCCTGTAGCAGCCTGGAACCTAGTGTCCTCACCACCTGGTCCTCTGGTACCCTCTCCTGTCAGTACCTTCTCCTTCGCTGAGCTGACCCACAGCCATGGTATCAGCAGCCAGCTGTCATTTTGAGACCTGTTCTCTCCAGATTGCCCTGCCAAACACAGCCACCTGCTTGTATGAGTTAAGCCTAGCCACGGGGAGCATGTTTTCAGGGCATTTCAAAAGTTAAACATGGTGGAGTTGTCCACTGACCTCCACACTTGTATCAGGGCTCACACATACACAAATAAATGTAATAAAAGAATCATTTGAAATATTTAAAAAGTCTAAAATCAAATTTGCAGTCATTTCACACAAACTTGGTTTTCCTCACCCCCCTCGGACTACAACAGCATCCTAGACAATCTTCCCAGACCTACTCTTACCTTTCTCAATCTTTTCCTCAGTATCACTTTCCAGCTTTAACCCTCAATGGCCTTCCAAAGTTCTGAAAACAAACTAAACCTCCATGAGTCTTGACCATTACCCTCTGTCCTGTCGGGCAGGACCTCCATCCTCCCAATCAAGCTCATGCTCTCCCTTGTTTTGTCGAGACTGGGCCTTAGAGCCTGGGCTGGCCTGAAACTTGCTCTGTCCTCCAGGCTAGCCCTCACCCCCACCTTCTCTTTCTCCCCTCCCCCCATTCCTCTCTGGCTTGCTTGGGTAAAGGTCACTGTGTCCTCACAGCTCCCGGGCCTGAAGCCTGAAAAAGTACCTAAGTGGTCCAGTTCTATACTTCCCTTTCCTCACGCGGTTCCTATAAGTGGCGTGGGGGTATCATACTGGAGGGAGTTTACTGACTTGCCTGTTACAGGGCTGATCAGAGTCAACTTCACCTTCACCGGGTACCTAGGTAGGTGGGATTCCCTCGTAACTAACTAAAAATGCAAAATGCGGCCGGGCGTGGTGGCGCACGCCTTTAATCCCAGCAACCGGGAGGCAGAGGCAGGGGGAATCTCTGGAAATTCAAGGCCAGCCTGGTCTACAAAGTGAGTTCCAGGACAGCTGGAACTACAGGGAGACCCTGTCTCAAAAAGACCGAAAAAAAAAAAAAAGCAAAATGCAAAATCCATGAGGTGGGGACATAGGGCTCAGCAGTAGGGTGCTTGCTTAGCATACACACGGTCCAAGGTTCAAAACAACTTCTAAATCCAGCGAAAAGCGGGTTCTTACCCTTTCTCGCCCTTGTTGACAAATTTCTGAACCTCCTTCACCCCGCGCCGAATCTGTTTCTGCTTCACGGCTGCAAAGACAAGAGTGAGTCCCCCACGCCTCGCTTTTATTGTTTTCATGGTCAAGGCATTCAGTCACACGCATTCCTAACTGCTATGAACTGCACGCGCCTATAGCGTGAACCCTGGCCCGCCCCCCGCAGACCCCGCCGCACCTTTCTTGATGCACTTGTAGAGCTTGCGCGTGAGGCGGCGGGAGGCCAGCGGCTGCGCGATGGGGTTGAGGTTCACCAGCAGCTCCTGATACGTGCGCTCCCCGCCGGTCGCCTCCGCCGCCTCCGCCCCGTTCGGATCCGCCTTGACTTTGGTCATCTCGTAGGCAGCCAAACGCGACCGGGTGAGTCCACGCGGCCACCGTCTCCGCAACCACTTCCGGGTCCGCTGCCTTCCGGAAAGCCGCGGAGAAACGGGGTCGTCAGCTCCGGCCAATCATAGACGCTTGTCGCTCAATAAGGCGCGGAGGGGCGGAGCCTCGGCCCAGGGGCGGGGTCAGGGTTTCGGCGGGAACCTGGGGAATCCGTTCTAGAACCGGATTAGGCCCGTGGGCGCGGAGAAAAGAGGGTCCTAGGCCCGGTTGCTTTAATGCCAGCACTCGGAGGCAGAGGCAGACGGATCGCTGTGGGAGAAGGGTCAGCCTGGTCTATGTAGCGAGTTCCAGGTCCGCTGGGGCTACAGGTAGACCCTGTCTCAAAAAACAAACATCAGCCGTGCGTGGTTGCGCACGCCTTTAATCCCAGCACAGGTAGGCGGATCTCTGTGAGTTCAAGGCCAGCCTGCTCTACATAGTGAGTTCCAGGACAGCTGGTGCTGCAGGGAGACCCTGTCTCCAAAAGACCAAAAAAAAAAAAAAAAAAAAAATTTAAAAAGAGGGGCCCGAGGCAGGGAGGCCAGGGGAAAGAGGGATGAGGAGCTGTTGAGAGCTGGGCGTGGCGGGCTCAGAATACGGAAAACGCCCCAGCCCAAGTGTGGGAAGGGGAGGAGGAGACGGGCACGGGAGTCAGACAACCACTGACTAGAAGTAGTAGGCTTTCCAAATCCCTGAGCATCTTCTGTCACCTGGGCAGTGCGGTTCCTGAGCTTCTTGCAGCCCAGGCCTGTGTGTGTGGTCGTGAACACAGGCCCATCTGGTGGCTGTGGGAGACAGGTGAGTTAAACCAACCTGAAAGTTATCCCTTTAATCCTGCAGCCAAGTGCAGTTATTTTAAACCAGGCTGGCTGGGGGCATAGCTCAGTGATAGAATGCGCTAGGCCCTGGATTCAGTCACCTGAGCCAAAGTCATTTTAAACAGTTTAGTAATAAACTGAAAATGGTGTCAAAGGCTTATAATCCCTGTAATTGTGGCACTGGGAGGTCGGGGGATAGAAGCTTGGAGTACTGGAGGATCAGAAAGTTCAAGGCCACCTTGGGGTATAAAAGCTCTGTCTCAAAAAAACAGTAGTGTATGTATATGTGTAGTCACATGTGCATAGGCACACAGGTACTAGGGTGGGGGTACACTTGCATGTGGAAGCCAGAGATTGATATTGTCTCCACTGTGCATGTATATATATTATATATATATATATTTTTTAAATATTTCATATTATTTTTATTTTCTGTGTATGTGTGTATTGCCTGCATGCATATAAGTGCACCCATGTCGTGCAATGCCCACAGAGGACAGAAGAGGTCATTGGATCCCCTGAAACTGGAGTTAACAGTTGATAGCTGCCATGTGGGTGCTGGGATTTGAACCCAGATCTTCTGCAAGAACAGCCAGTGCTCTTAATCATTGAGCCATCTCTCCAACCCCTCCATTGCATATATTGAAGCAGGGTCTCTTACTAAAGCAGAGAACACAGGTTCGGTTCCCAGCACCCACATGTCCTTTAACAACCGTCTGTAACTTCAGTTCCAGGGGCTCTGATGCCCTCCTCTGGCCTCCGTGGATGTTACACTCAAGGGCACACTAATGCATGTAAGCAAAACATTCACAGAAAATAAAAATAAATTTTAAGAAATTTTTAAAGAGAACCCTTCACTGAATAGTTGATAGTACAGAATGTCACACATCTTCAGAATTAATTGTCAAGGCTGTGGATGCCACGTCCCATAAATGCTTAGTGAAAAAAAATGGAAGAATTATGTTTAGGGCCATTTCAGAAATTGCTGAAAATTCCTAATCTCTAGACAAAATTCACTTAATGATTTTAAAATATTTTACATATTTTGTGTATGTGTATGTATGAGGGTGATATATTAGTGTGTGTACATGCATCTGAGTGCATGCTCTTCAAGGCAGAGGAGGACATCAGGTATCCTGCTGTGGGGACTTAAAGGCCCCACCTTGCAGGGGTCTGAGAGGAAGTTACTGGGGCACGGCCTGATGTGGGGAGCAGTAGGCCCCCAACCCAGAAATAACAACCATTGTCTGTGAAATTAACTGCTGACAGGTTCAACTTCTGACCTAGTCTAAAGTGCAACCAAAGGGCTTTTGCAACCAGATGGCTTTGTGAAGAACATGTTTTTCTTCCTTGACCTTTTGCTATGCTTGGGAAACTTCCTCATCTTAGGAGACCATCAGGTCTTGTGGTGTAACTGTGGGTTTTACTGTAACTTGTAAACTAACTATGGAATTTGCTGTAGCTGTGGAATTTACCCGCGGTTTCTTCCTCCTTCTGCTTCCCTATAAAAGCTTTGTGCAGATGTTCAATAAATGAGACTTGATCAGAAGACTGTCTTGTCTCCATTCTCTGTGTCTCTTGCCCCATTCAATCCCCACTCCTCATTCCAGGTACCCCGTTGCAGATCCCGCAGGACGGGACAGCTGGCGCCCAATGTGGGGCTGGAAACTGAGGCAGCAGTGAGGGAGATGACGTGAAAAGGAACGCGTTCGACAAACTTTGAAATACTTCGGAGCCGCTGCGGAAACCTGCCTCGGCCTAAACTGAAAGTAAGTGGAAACGTCTGATCATGGGGCAAGAATTAAGCCAGCATGAGCTTTATGTTAAACGGTTAAAGGAGGCTTTAAAGACAGGGGGAGTAAAGGTTAAAACTGCAGATTTATTTCACTTTTTTGACTTTGTAAAGGAAGCCTGTCCCTGGTTCCCCCAGGAGGGTTTAATAGATATTAAGAGATGGAAGAGAGTTGGAAGTGCATTAGAAGATTACTATAAGGTTTTTGGCCCGGATAAGATCCCGGTCACAGCTTTCTCATACTGGAATTTAATAAAAGAGTTAAGAGACAAAAGAGAAGCACCCACCGAGGTTGCTATAAAACAAACAGAGGATCTCTTGCAAAACAACGCTTGCCCAAAAAATAGTGAGGTCCCTGCAGAAGAAATTGACCTTATTTCTCTTGATAGCAATGAGGAGGATTCAGCTAGACAATCTAAGACCCACTCCAAAAGTTCAGATCCTGATCATAACAAGTCAGACCCAGACCCTAAGCCCGTCTCTGACACCGTGCCACTCCAGCCTGATGCCGCGCCTACAGCCCCTCCTGAGGCTTGTCCTTTGCCCCCTCCTTATGCTATTCCTCCAACTCTGTCACCCCTCGAGGCCTTCCCAGTTTTTCCTCCTATCGAGCAATTAAAGGCAGAGATCGACTGCTTACAGCAACGTGTTGAATTAGAACCCCATCGCCGCACACTGGTTGCTGAGCTCCAGAGCCTAATGGTCCGGAGTTCTTTCTCGGGTCCCGTAACTACCAAAACTGAGACCCCGATGGCTGGTCTTTCACGAGGTTTATCCACCACCACACCCTCAGCTTTTAAAGCTTTCCCAGTTATTGAACTGAAAAAGGATGATGATGATAATGAGCCTTCAAGGCAGCATACCCAATGCAGCTTTCAAGTAATGAAAGAACTAAAGGCTGCGGTGTCACAATACAGTGCCACAGCCCCTTACACGACTGCTCTTTTAGAAGGCTTGGCTGAGCAGTGGCTGACTCTGGCAGATTGGTACACCCTTGTTAGAGCACTCCTTAATGGAGGAGACTTCCTCTTATGAAAGTCAGAATTTTATGAAAATTGTAAAGAAACTGCTAAGAAAAACCAAAAGGCTGACAATGGCTGGAACCTTGATATGCTAACAGGGCAGAGAGACTATGATTCAAATGACACCCAGATGAATTATGCGCCTGGTCTATTCGCCCAAATTCAGACAGCTGCCTTAAAGGCTTGGAAAAAGCTTTCAACAAAAGGAGATTCAGGACTCTCTCTCACTTCAATAAAACAGGGTCCCAATGAGCCTATTGCTGATTTTGTCCATCGATTAACTACTGCCGCTACTAGACTATTTGGTAATGTTGAAGGCGGCATTGAGCTTACTGTAAAGTAACTGGCCTTTGAAAATGCCAACCCAGCTTGTCAGGCTGCCATTTGGCCTCATAAGAGAAAAACTGGTTTAGATGGCTACATATTGCTCTGCTCTGAAATTGGCTCCTCCTTTCAACAGGGCCTTGCCATGGCAGCAGCACTCAGTGGTAAGACAGTGAGAGACTTCCTAAGTGACACAAATCGGCCAAACACAAAGGGCTGCTTTAAATGTGGAAAGCCTGGCCATTTTTCTCAGGATTGCAAGTCACCACCTGACCAGACAAAAAACAATAACAATTCTGATAGATCCCCAGGGCTCTGCCCTAGATGCAGACAAGGAAAGCATTGGGCAAATGAGTGTAAGTCCAAAACTGGACAATTTGACAAACGCGGCCTAGGAAATTTTTAATTGCGACCATTGACAAACCTACACCCTCAAACTTTGCGGATCCCATAACTTGGAAATCTGATGATCCTGTTTGGGTAGATCAATGGCCGCTTTCCCTAGAAAAATTAACTGCCGCTACGCTGTTGGTGCAGGAACAACTTAAATTAGGACATACAGAGGAATCTCATTCACCCTGGAATACACCCATCTTTGTTATAAAAAAGAAATCTGGTAGCTGGAGGTTACTACAGGACTTAAGGGCAGTGAACGCCACCATGATACTCATGGGAGCCCTACAGCCTAGGCTGCCCTCCCCGGTGGCTATTCCCCTGGGGTATCTTAAAATTGTTATAGATCTCAAAGACTGTTTTTTCACCATTCCCTTATACCCACAGGACCGCAAATGCTTTGCATTTAGCCTTCCGTCCATCAATTTTAAAGAACCTATGAAAAGATATCAATGGAAGGTTTTACCCCAGGGGATGGCCAATAGTCCCACCTTGTGTCAAAAGTTTGTCGCTGCAGCCTTGCAAAAAATCAGGCTTTCATGGCCCTCCATGTATGTTATCCACTATATGGATGATATTCTCATTGCTGGCAAAAATGGGGGGGCGGTATTACAATGCTATACACAGCTTCAGCATGACCTTGCCGCCGCTGGCCTTCAAATAGCTCCAGAAAAGGTACAGCTTCAAGACCC